CTGCTTCTTTCTTTCTGTGAACAGTAGATGTTGGATAGTGTACATGGTTTCTTTAAAATATATATAAGAAGACAGAAATTTAAAATGTACAAAGATGGCTCATCTAAACCACCTTGTAATAGTTAAGCAAAAAGTGCATGGTCAAGAAAGATGGTTTTCAAACTATAGTCAGACAAGCTTCATTGTCATTCTGGAACTTACCAAATAAAAATCTCAATCATCAGTTAACACCTCGTTTTATGTCACCAGTAAAAATGACTCAGACTTGTGATGGATGAAGAGAAACAGGGTTTAAAAAGTGATTGAACTGTTTTCAGAACTAATTCCCAATGTTCTTTCAATGTTAATGCAATAAAGCAAATATCTATTTTGCATGAGCACAATGTTACAAATAAATCACACAAGAACAAGAGGTTGTCTGTTGCTTGGAGAATTATTTGTTTGAATCCAAGCCTATAAACGTAAAATGTCTAAGGGTTTGAATTTGCTTTGTTCTGGATCTGTGATTTTTTTGTGTGTACAGTGTTCTGTATGTAAAGATGGTGTAAATATGCCTTATACTGTTTTATTATTGCACCAACATTCATCTATTAGTGCTTGTCAGAATTATTTCTGTGAAATGCAAATTTATGGCAGATTGTGAAAATTGGTTTGATGGTCTGAAAGTTTCTGTTATGTTAGTTGATAAAACTGGAGAAAAATAAAAGAGACTAATGTATTTATTAAAAGAACCATCTGGTAGATTTTTTTGGCTATTATTGTCTCTACTCTTTAAAGAATAGGCTTACGTAAATTGTTACTTTTTATTTAATGTTTTTGTAACTACTCTGATGAAAAATAAAACAAAAACATGTTTGAAGACTGGATGACTAATACTTGGGGTAGTGCCATTTAACTAAAACCACAATACGCTTTTCAGATGAAGAGCTACATCAGAGTGCTAGCACACAAGCTAGCAATGATACAGTCTCACTGGAGAGTGTACTAAAAATGAGTAATTTTTCAGAGTACTGAAAGCAGTTCAAATATGACAAGTTAAAAAAAAAAACCTTAGAAATACAGCATTTAAAATATTGCAGCAAAGTGCACTACTACAAATGGAAAGTTTTCTATGAATAGTCAACTCAGTGATAAAATTTGGTTTCTCAAACCAGATATAGAAGTATCAATTATTTTTTCATTATAATATCAACAAGAGGAAGATGATTTTGGCTCAGGCAGTCATACATGAAATGCGTAAGGACTTTTGGAGTTTGCAAGACAGCTCTCTAGTTCTTACATACATGAAAAAATTACTGTCTGCACATTGCACAAAAATTTACATACATATAGAAGGATTTATCTCCATAGGCATTCTATACTAGTAACTGCAGAGATGTGGGAATAGAGATGTTACTTTATTTCTGATTATAATTTTTAACTGCTTTAGCTAAACTAAATAGGATTTCTTGTGGTTAATTCCCAGGATTATTTCTAGAACCCTTATTATGCTTCAGTCTTCTAACAGACCACTTTTATAAAAGGCTGCATACTTTTGATAGCCATTCTGCTGCATCATTCACTTTTTTGTTTTGTTTTCTTTTCGGTAAAATCTGTCTAGAAATAGTTATTCTTTCCTCTCTAATTAATCAGTTTGTTCCAGCATTTCTTCTTTCAACAGTCTTTTCTTGAAGGAATATATCTGATATTGAAAGATTTTAACTTGAAGGAGTAGTAAGTCTATGTGAATTGGTGCAGTCCAGTGTGAAATCATTTGTCTTCTCTGCACTACCCTCATCTTCCTTACTTGCTTCTCTCTTTGAGGTACAAACAACCTGTCCATTCTCTAAAGTTTATTGCTTCTTATACTCATCAAAGATTTTTTTTTTAAATTATCTTTCTGGTCTTTACAGAATGAAATTTCCAAGTATTTAACACTAGCTTAATAACCTTCAGAGGTTAAATTTGTTTTTATTTAGTGTGAAGTTAGACTATAATTCTGAGCTTTTGAAAATCTCACACTGAGTTTCTTCTAGCCTTATGGATATATGTCTTCATAGCACCTATCGTACATTATGCTGTTTTCCATTGCCTTTATTTAGGTTAAGTTTTCATCTTAAATGCTACCTTTTAGATTCAGACAGATTCTTGAACCATCCCATTAAACCTTACCTTATAATATGGGGAAATTTTTGCCTTCTTAGGTATTTTCATACTCTGATAGACACCTACAATATATTTATGTGAATGTTTGAAGAGACTATCCATTTTATGCTTTAAAAAGCTCAACTTTTTATTGTTTTTTAGTGGAGGTGGTCAGTACATAAAAAAACCAGTTCTATATTCTTAAAACATACATTGTTGTGGAAAGGAAATGAAGATCAATGTACAGTGATCTCCCAATTTGAAATTACAAAATGAATATCAAAAATAAATATATTTGGTATTTCAGTTGTGATTTTTATATTAATTTATAATCGTAATTTATAATGCTTAATTTAGTATAAGTTGGTTTCACCAGTAATTGATAATATAAATTGTAATTGATAACTTATAGGTGTCCCTGCTTGAGCAGGGGGTTTGGACTAGATGATCTTTAGAGATCCCTTCCAACGTCAACCAGTCTGGGATTCTGTGATATATAAAATTAAGATAAAACATAAAGTAATTATTTAACATGTAGATTAAGTATATTTCTAGAAAAAAAAGGTAATTCTGAAACAGCATGGTCCCATAAATAACGATGGTATCAAGAATTTAACATGTAAAAATATCTGTCATAACGTTTTCAGCCAAGTTTAAATCATTTATTTTCTGATTTTTAACAGTGTGGAAATTTAGCAGTGTGGAAGTCATTTTCTACTCTCTATCTGAAGAATTTTAACTATTTTATAAAACAGACCTTTCTTCAGTAATGTCCCTAACTGAGCTAAGATTTCACACGTGTAAGGTATCAAAATCAGCTGCAAAAATGCTGTTATCATTGCGCATGCTTATTCATTACAAAAAATAATTTTAATTTCACACAATGGACATTGGACCTGCTATCTTAATACAGTTTATTGTTCTGACTGAACAGATTGAAAATAGTGATACAGTTTTGCCACACAAAGATGCTTACACTACTGAAATATATGAACAAAGCACATAATCACATGGTTAGTTAATTACTCTGCTACTGCAGGAATATGTATGAGCCCTTCCTTCATTAACTTAAATGTACAAGGCTTGAATTTGATCTTTTTTCATTTACTGTAAGAAAAATGTCAGACAAATTAGATGAGGAAAACTGTTTAGACAAATGTCAGTAGTGCTCATAATCTTACAACTGAGCATATGTCTTGAAATTAACTCTGAAATACAATTTTAGAATTCGCTTTGATGAACTTAAGCATTTTTATTCCTTTTTGCCTTAGGTCACACATATTATATCAGTGATCCCATTAAAGGAATTATTTATAAAAAGTGAAGTTGTTTGAAGCTAGAGAACTTCTATCAAATACTTCCTCTTACCTTCAGTTCCCTCCCTAATTTTGTGGTCTACTTAAAAAAAAGGGTGCTTAGACAAAATGATTTGACATATTAATGCTCTTTTTGTTCAAGGAAAGATATCCAAATAAACTTCCTACAGAAGGTGCAAAAGAGTCTCCTTCTTTAGAGATCTTCAAAACCTGCCTGGATGCGATGCTGTGCCATGTGCTCTAGCTGTCCCTGCTGCAGCAGGGATGGTTTGGACTAGATGATCTCTAGAAATCCCTTCCAACCTCAACCATGCTGTGATTCTGTCTGATTCTGTGAACTACTTGGTATACAGAGAGCAAAGCTGGGTTCATTCTCAGACTCAAATCCTGAAACCAAGGAGTGTTCAGAAATCCTCTAGACGCCCTTAGCTTTTTGAAGAATCACACCAGTCATGTGGCTGAACATCAAAAGTGCATTCACACATTTCTTCAGCAGGCCATCTAGTGCCGCCTTTTTTTTCTTCTGGGATCTGTTACTGAGAAGTAATTTTTGTCCTACTTCCTACATTCTGCACTACTCCTCTCTATTCTATTGTTACCATAGACATTCTTATAGTCACTTTTTTAGTTAAGAACTTATCTGAATTTCCATAACCAAATTTAGAAGGAATTACAGTAGGGCTCCCATGAGAAAGTGTTGAGGAAAGATGGGCACATGGGGAGTATTGCTGGTTTGAATAGCCCTAGCAACAGGCCGAGTCAGGTAGGTGTCATCCTGCCCCTTGTGCACTCTTTCAGACTAGCAGGCATCAAGTACCTTTTAAAATTCCCATCTTCTTTCAAAAATTGATTTTATATTCCTTTATATACAGAAAGGGAGAGCATAAATAGTTTGGCAGGGTTAATCTTGAGACACTAGACTGTATAATCTTGATCATCTTCTAATACTGAGCATGTTAAGTGTTTCTATAACACTGCAGTGCAATTCTTAGCTAGAAGTCACCTAAGAATAGATAAGTATCAGTAACAAGAACTAAATTAAATTAACATAAAAAGAAGAGAGATCACAAATAGGCAATAAATAATTTTTACACATTCTGAAGCAACACTTAATGTTGAAATATTATCACTTTATCTACTAGCTGCTTAACTTGTATGTCATTCGTTAATTTAATATTGAACAAATCTTAATATGCCAATCAGGCTTAATGACAGATTGTTTTCTTCACAAGTGTATACCAGGCATACTCGGTGTAAAGCTTGACTGCAGGCAGCGCCAGATGGAATCCGCTAGTTTGACCTGGGATGGAGAGTGGACCAATCAATCAATGCCCTTAATGTTTTTTATTTCCATTTCTCTCCCTATTTATGTGAATTTTGTTTTTCATGTCATGTCAGTTTTCTGTTGAAGGTAATATGAGATTCAGTGCAGCACAAAAGAGTCATGAACACTCTTGCTCAGGATTTTTTTGATCCCACACAAGATTTGTACCTACTTTTGATTCAAATTATATTAGCAGACCTC